AAATGTTAATATAATTATAGAATATAATAGTAATAATTTTTTGCATTCAAAGTTTATCTTGTGATACATCGATTCTCTATCCGATTGTGGCTGAACTTCGTGTCTTCAAGACGGATTATGAACTTAATATTATACGTTATGTTTGCAAGGTATCAAAAAATTATTCAATTTTTTTTTTTCTTTGAATGTTAAACAGTAATTTAATTATGTTTGACGAATTTTATTAGTTATTTTCATTTTCAGATCGAAAAATTATGGCAATTATGTTAGCAAAAAAAGTAGCAATTATATATGCTGGTATAAGTGTGTAATGGTCTAATTAGTAGATATATTTATCGGTTTAGGTTATATTACTAAATAAGAGTTGGTAAATAATAATTCATAGTTTAAGACAATATTTTAAAAAAATATGTATTTATGCGAAATTTAAATTTTCGCATTTAAATAATTTTCAATATCAAAATAGAAAGGAAAAAAAAAAATTATTTCAGGTAGCATCAGAAGCACATAAAGCTGTAATGAAATCAGTGAAACCCGGAATGTATGAATATCAATTGGAAAGGTATTAAATTTAATTTTCCCCCTTTAAATCAGGGATAGAATTTTGAGATTTTACTACATGAATATTATTGTTGTTATTTAATTGTTTAATATTTCCTCCGAATAATTGCAATTTCCCGATCCCTTTCTTTTATAATTATTAAAATTTCAATACAAATTAGTATACGAGTTTATTTTGATGTCAAATTTCTTCAGCCAAACATTCTTTTATCTTTTGTTGTGAGTGCACTGCACAACATACATACATGCTGTGTTATAAATAAAAAACTGTGTTATAAATAATTTTTTGTTTTTCCGTAAATTTGCCATTGCACGGAAATGTCGTCGTAATATCTGATGCTAAAATAAAATAAAATATAAAATAAAATACACACACACACACACACACACACACACATACANACACACACACACACACACACACACACACATACATACACAATTATAGTTTGTTGAAATGTGAAATGAAATTTAACACGCATTTCAAGCTACTTCAAACGATAGACAATTCGTTTATTTAATTGATGAAAGTTAAATTCAATATTAATTAAACTGAAAATTTTAATATTTAAATGGAAAAATAATAAAAAAATGCAATATATAAAAAAAAAAAGGATGAAAATAATTATTATCATTGTAGCTTATTTCGCCATCATTGCTATTATCATGGAGGATGTCGACATTTGGCTTACACGTGTATCGCTTCATCGTAAGCAAATAGCATTGGATAATAATTTATTGCATTTTAAAACAATCTTTGAAGCGAAATTTGAACTTTTACTTCCTTTTTTTTTTTTGGAAGAAATTGTAATAAACTCAAGTTTAAAAGTGTTAAATTTACCATTTTACCATTTAGTGGATGTAATAGTGCAATCCTACATTATGGCCATGAAAATGCACCAAATACGAAAGAAATCATCGATGGTGAATTATGTTTGTTTGATATGGGTCCCGAGTATAACTGTTATGGTTTGTTTGCTTATTGATTACAAAATTCGAAAAAATATCTAAAAACTGAAAAAAAAACGAATAATATAAGATAGAATTAAAGAAATAATTGTAATAAATTACTTTCACACTTGATTTTAAGTGTAAAAAAAGTTTTAGCATTTTTCTTTTTTCATTTTTGATCTTTTTTCATT